TCCGGTCACCTTGAAAGGGCGCGACCCAGTCCTATGTTAGGAACGCATCAAAAGGGAGGTTTGGTCGCAGGCCCGAGTCGTTCACGTTTCCTGGGAACCCTCTCCAAACCTCTCCTCGATACATCAGAGCCATCCGTAACTCCTCAGACTCGACACTAGAGCTCCTCGGTCTTTACCTAGGAGATCAAGTGCCCTTCCTTTGAGTTTATTCAAATGAGAGTTAACGGACTACATGGCCATGGGGGGCTTATATAGGTGAGAGTCCTTAGAAATGAGGAAGGTTAACCATGGTGGTGGTAGGTAGGAGGGGTAGGATGGTAAAACTTGGTCCAAGGGTCCATGGTCCATACTCAATAGCCACCATTCCTTCTCTGTTGGAATTGGCCTTTAGCCCATTTATTTTATCCAGTAATTCCTAGGAAAATCCCAGAGGCCCATATGGCCCATCCATGCATGACAAGGGATGTGGAAAGTTTAGTCCCACCATGCTAGTGGAGGGTGTGGGAGACCAACTTATAAAGTGAGTTGTTCCACACACCACTAAGAGCTTGAGAAGAGAGCACATACGCGAGCGCTCCTCCTCCACTGCCTGCCTCGCCACGCCTCACACGCGTGTCGTGTTTTGTGATCGAGCCAATCCGAGCCATGCTAGGACCTTTGAAACGTGTCTGCTCTATCTTAACTTTTTGTTCATCTCCCTAGTGGGTCAGTTCAATGCTTATATAAGAGGTCGCTCCTCTTCCACCAAACAGAATACACAACTCCCTCGCCTCGTTCCAAAACCTTGCGCCTCCTACTGCTGCCTCTTGCGATCCTGTATGGGAGAGAGGCAATCAGGTTTTTGGGGAGCACTCTAGCACGACTGTTGGATCTTCATCGTGGCTGACAACGACAACTTCTTCCCCGACGTCGACCACCTCCTCGGTGACATGAAAAGCTTCGCACCTGCATCTTCTTCCACAGCACCGCACGTCTTCTTCTCTCTTCTGTTAGGGTTTGCGTCCGGTCTACTACTTTTACCTATCGATGTGGATATGATTTTTGTCTGTTATGTACCCAATTGCATGACAATTACATCACTTTGCTACTTGATTCATTATCATCTCTATTATGATTATCATGTTTTATCTACCATCTTTCTAGATTAAACTTAATGGAAATTGCTCAAATATTCAACAGTCCAAAAACCTGATATGTGTAGGCAATTTTCTCTAGTTGCTTTCGATATGACTCTCAAGCCCCCTCCGTTTGAGGATGTGAACTATAAGACGTGGCGTGCGAGTTCTTTTTGTTATGTCATGCTAAGGGCCAGTTCTTTTGGTTGCATGACGCGGCTAGCAAGTTTGAGTTTAATCCTGAAATTCACAATTGTCAAAGGTTCTAAGTGTGTGTCAAGCAAAGAAACCTCGCAAGTCTAATACGACAGCTGAGTCGAGATATTTGGCACCATTAAAACTCACACGTTCATATCTTCGTGAGATCAATGGTGTGTTGACAAAGGGTGGAAAAAGATATTTCATGACTTTGATCGATGACTACTAGATATTGCATGACACATCTGTTGAAAACAAAAGATGAGGCTTCACACTACTTTAAAATCTATAAAGCCGAAGCAAAGAATAAACTTGATCGAAAGATCAAGAGGCTTAGATCGGATCGTGGTGGAGAGTATTTTTTTCAACGAGTTCAATTTATTATGAGAGGAACATAGTATAATCCATGAGAGGACGCCTCCCTACTCGCCC